TCTTTGACTCATACATTAGTTATAATGTATAGTCTTGCTGTTGTCAGCTAAGATAAAGTTGCTCTTTAGTTACTCTAAACAGTCTAATTGGGGTTTATCCTTGCACTTCTATATCTTTCATTGTATCAGTCTTTGTTACAAGACTGTTTATGATTTGAGCTATATTAACTGTTCCTTTTTAGTTCACTGTGCTATCAGCTTTTTAGCTGGTTTACACGGTCGTGTAAGCACTTTATCGGTGCAGTATTGCTCGCTTCTTATTATCTGCTCTTAGTTGTCTTAGTTGAGCTTTGATCGATTCTAGATTATTAAGAGTTTGGCTGAGCAATTATGATGATAATCTTGTTGTTTGGTTATTGTTAAATGATAATTTAGTCTAAAATTATATCGCTACGATGACGAAATGATTGATTCATCCACAACAACTATTAAGGTATCTGTGTCGTTAACTCAGATGGTACTCGCTTTAGTGTCTTGTGTTGAACACAAGAGGCACTTTTTATCTTGAAAAGTACTTGTTTTTATGGATTTAGACATCACTGCTCTCGGTTAGTTTAGACATCTAATTAATTTTTGTTTGTCGATAGAGAAGTAAATTGAAGTCGTATAAAGACAGCGTTCTCCATCGCCCCCCCCCCGGCTTGCCCCCCCCCCGTGCTGCCTCTCTCTCTGCGCCCCTTCCCGCGGGGTTCCTTTTACCTCCTTTTTCTTTTCCTTCCCCCGCCGCTCTGGTTGGCTGTTTCGGGTGCGCCTTCTTATTTTTCTTTTTTTTTTTTTTCCCTCCTTCCCCTTTCTGCCGTCCCTTCTGGCCCCGCCTGCCGCTCCCCCCCCTGTCCCCACCACACCTTCCCCCCCCCCCTTTCCTTCGCTGCTCTTCCCCCCTCCCCTCCGCCCCCTTTCTTCCCTCCCTTGTCCCCCCTCCCATCCCCCAGCTCCCCCGCGCTTTCCCACTCTCCCCTTCCTCCCCCCCCTCCACTCCCCCCCCTCCGTTGCCCCGACCCTCCTTCCTTGCCCCGACCGTTGCCCCCACTTTCCCTACCTCTCGGCCCTTCCCCCGCGTGCTCCTGCGCCTGCCTTCTTCCCTCATCTCTCGCTCTTTCTTCTCTTCTCTCTCTCCTCTCCTCTCCTCATCTCTTCTCTCTCTCTCTCTCTCACCTCCACTCCAGGGCGCGCGCGCCTCCCGCCGGGCGCCCCGCCTTACCCCCACGAGGCCGTCCTTTCCCCCCCCCGGCCATGCCGCCTTGTGCTCTTTCGCCCTCCCCCTTCCCTCGGTCCCGTCCTATCTCCTATTCTCCTCGCTTTGTCTCGCTTTCCGGGGCGCCCCGTGTCCCCTCTCGTGGCCCTTCACCCTCTCTCCCCCTCTCCCTTGTCTGCTGTGCCCTGGCCTGCCGCGCCAGCCCTCCTCTTCCGCTTTTTCTCTCAGTGTCGTCCGGGGCCACTCTCCACTGGCGCCGCCCCTGCGTGTGCCCCGGTCCGCTCATGTCCCACTTTTTGGGTTCGCCTGGCGGGCCCCCTTTTTCCGCCGCTCTGCTCCCGCCATGGCCCGCACGCCCCGACGCCCCCGCCACGGCCCCGGCCCCGGTGGCCCATGGCCTTTTGTTTCCCCCCTCGGCTCTCCCCGCCCTTGCGCCCCCCCCACGCCCCGGGGTGCGGGGGTGCCCCGCCCTCCTCCCTTTTTTCTTCCTCTCCTCTCTCGCCCTTCCGGTCACGCTTCTCTTCCCTCGGCCCTGCCCTCCTACCTCCACGTCTGCTCCCTTGTTTCCCCATTCTCCCATCCGCTGCTTTTCGTACCCCACCTGTCTACGTCCCTTCCCCCCCTCCTCGCCCCCCCTCCTTTCTTCTCACCGTACCCTGCGGTCCCCCACCTACTCTCCCTCGCGGTCCTGCTCAGCCTTCCGCGTATCAGCGGTTTTGCTCTTTGGCCTTTTTTTCTTTGTTTGCCTCTTCTCCCCCTGCTTCTTCCCGCGTGGCCGCGTTCCGCCCCCGCTCCCTTTCTTCACTCTGCGCCCCCTTCCCCACCCATCCCGCGGCTCTGCCGTTGTCCTTCGCAGTTCGCAGACTGCCTCCATCCCTACTTTCTGACTCCCCATTCACCCGTCTTCCTCTGGCCCTATGGTTCCTCCCCTTGCCACTTCCCCCACCCTCGCTGCCTTTCCTTTTGCCCATGTCTTTTTTGCTGGGCCCCCCTCTTTTTTCGCGGGCCAGCTTTTTCCCGTCCTGCCCCCCCTGGCGTCCCGCAACTCTCTCCGGCTCACGTTATTGCTCCCCCCCTCCTCCTGCCGCTTCTCCCCCCCCGGTGCCTTCTCCCTGTTCTACCCCTGCACCCCCTTTGCCGGCCCACTCCTGCTCTCGTCTCTTTCCTCCCTTGGCCCTGCCCTCTTCCTTGTACTTATCTCCTTCCCCCCTCCCCCGCTTTACTCCAGCCCTTCGCCTTTCTTCTACCCGTCCTGCCCTTCCTCGCGTTGTAGTTCTTTCTTTTGCGGCTCCGTCCCCCCTTCCTCCCCATCCCCGTGCCTCCCTTTTTTCTTTTTCCCTCCGTTTTGTTGGTAATCCCGCCCTGTTTTACTCTGCTGCCTCTTTCCTTTCTCCCATCATTTCTACCTCTTCATGCCTATGTCAGCTCTGTGGACCTCCCCTGCACGGTTCTTCTTCTCTGCACAAGTGCCTGCATTTTGTCATGCGGCTTCTTGCACTTACATAAAGATTCAGTCTAGAAAAAAAAAAACATCATTGCAAATTTCACCCATCCAATCCATCTCGTTGGAGTAGCATGTTAAAAGACATAATCTCTAATAGCACATTACTGACAACCCCTATTTCTTTTCTTTGAAATCAATCCTTCACTTCTATATGAATAAATGAATGATCAACTCTAAATAAATGAGGAGAAGTGTAAGGATGAACCATGGGTAGATGTCAAAGATATCTCTTTACAGGAAGTGGCCATATTTTGAATCATAAGAAATTCAGCTTCATATAACAACTTATTAAACTATTGGTCTTACAATTCGAATGCAAACAGGTGAAGCACGTAGTAATTGACCTTAGGACACATTGTTAATCCCATGACATAAATCTTAAGTAGACATGCTTTCAACACCTAAATAAAGAATCCTTTGTAGGAAGAATGAAACACCACAATAATTGCATTTGAAATGACACATTCCCTATTCTTTTCAAAAGTGTTTATTCCTTAACTTTGTAACATAAATCCATAATGGCTTATCAGTTTTAACCAAATTTTAATTGGCAATCTGTACTCTTATTGTTGAAACGCACATCCCCACACAGCACTAAAAAAAAAAGGAGCATATATTTGCTTTTTAAAATTCAACAAGGATATGTTGAAGTAGAAGAAATAAGACTTATGCATAAAAGCAATTAAAATTCCAAACAAGTTTAAAAAACAATTAAAATTTCACTATGAAAATGAGAGGGTCATCCAATGGGAAGCAGCA